GCTTTGGTCAACACCGGATAGTTCATCTGCTCATTCCAAGCTTCTATCCCACCTTATGCATCCTGACGGTCTGTGAAGTATAATTCGAATAGTTTGTCAACAAAAATGCAGGGTGAGAGCTCTTTGACCCAAAGTACTCTGTCCTCCTCACTTCCGTTAGTTTCATTTGTAGTGTCTGTTATCTCACGTGATAAAGCTTCCGTCCTTGTATGCTGATACTGTTTTCAATAATTGAGCTTCTCGCTTTACACAATGCAAACACCACGTGGGCGAGTGATTTTCATGTTCTACTCAGCTACCCCAGCCTTACAATGTACGTCAGCTGTTGTCTTGAATTAGGGTGGGAGTCACAATAACTCTGCAGCAGGAAACTATAACACAGCGTTGTGACCTTGTAGCTCTCATTTAGTTACCAGTTGTCCTAGGGACCTTATAGTCTTCGGATACACATACCCAATCATCCTTTGCCAGATAAGTGCTGTTTTTCGTGCCCGATTCCAGGTGACGGAAACTGAGAGGTGGCAAATTTTTGACCTAGTAGATTGGTATCAAAAAGCCCACGGAAGGTATGGATGCTGTCGGTGTGACTCGCTTTCCAGGATGGGGACAGAGTGGTCCACAATGCGCCTAGTTGGAGACGCCGCAAGATATGGCTGCTAATGAATGCCAGTGGCGTTCCTCTTGTCAGTTTCTATCCGGATTGCTTGAATGAGTGTCTGTAGGCGTAGGCATCTCGGAAGGACTGCATTAAGCTAGCACTAAATTGATAATCATGAGCATTGTAGTTGGACACTTAGAGGCGTTCAAAGTTTATGGTATCTCTACAACAGAACGTGCTTTAGACCTTCGCGTCACACTGCAACATTTGCGAGGGTCATACGGAGACCATAAATACTGGATGGCTGCAACAGATCGACACGAAAATGTTGTCTAAGGCGGGCACCATATACCCATTTCAAAGTCAAATTTGCATCTAGTGGTTCTGTGGGGCCCTAATTACCGGCTGAATTCAGGTGAGCACGTAAACCAACATAGGGTTGTGAGATTCCCATAAATTTTGTGAGTACTTTAAGTATCGTGTTCATGTATAAGTGGGTTACTATGTGAGACGTGGGTTAATTCCAACTGAATGCCACCGGCATTTCCGTATTAGTTGGTTTTTTGTAAGATGAAAATTTCGTAACGAGCCATGTCTAGCACTTAATACTTTATAGGTGATATTTTCGGTTCATTGCTAACTCGAAATATGCCCAGGATGAATGGAAGGCAGTAATTCACTAGTGGATGTTGGAGTGCTGAATGAACTTGTTGGAGGCTGTCATGCTGCCCTTTGCGAGTGGCCTCATCGGTAGTGACTGATCGTAAATGGGTGCGAATAACCACAGTGAGAATCGAAACTTTGTTTTTAAGGCTTCCAAGTGCGCACACGGAAATCACTGTCTCCCATACTCCATGATTCGAGATGTCGTGTCTCGTCGACTTAAACTGGTGCACTGGTAAGAGGTGCGCCGTCCTTACTTTTACATCGTATCAGATAGTTGAGGAGTGCCCTGTGTGCTGCCAACCAGCTGTTTTCAGCCATTTCACTGAAATGATTGACTCCGCAGGCACGATGACTGCGAAGTGTGAGGGGAAAAAGTGGAATGCCCCCGACGTTTGTCAACAAACATTGTAAACTTTTTGCCGCGTTAGGGTTTACAACGAACCTTCTGTAATTCTTTCCATTAAAGGTGTAATCCAAAAGAGGTATCTCCTATCTCCTTTTGTATTAATTTCTGTCACTGTCTTACCCCAGTAGACAAAAATCGAGGGATCCAGATGCCACCTAGGAAAAAATTAGTGCACTTGGTATGTGTGGATGATACTGTTCTTATTGGACAAGCGCCGGTCCGTGCAATCCAGTGTAGATGAGATATTCTAATTTTCCCCTTGAATCGAATGTATTTCAATACAAACTTATGTCACTTTGGGAGATAAGAAATGGCGGCTAATCGATGTCAGCGGCGTTCTTGCCGTAAGTTTCTTTCCAGATTGTCTGATTGAGTGGTTGGAGGTGTAGGCACCTCACTATGCTTGACATAGGCCAGCACTAGGTCCCCTCCCTCACCCACTCTTTTTCTCTTCACTGTGAGGCTTTTAACATAATTATATATATACATTCATAACAAGATGGACCTTATGGTTGTACGGCAGTGAAGCATCAGTGCCAACACTGATGTTGCTGTCTTTGATGATGACGATGAGAGATAAGTCAAGATTTTATTGTGACAGAGAAACAGAACAGGTTTTTCTTTCTCAGGGAGCGTACAGTTTTGTCCAGCGTGCCCCATTTGTGTACCAGAAGCTAATTTTGCTGAAGATGTGTAAAAATGCAGCTGTACGAGCATCCTTACTATATATTTGCAAAACCTGATTTGTCTGACTTTAGGACGATAAATATCGTTAATATTTTATCACCGGTGCCTTAGTTGCATGGCGGGCATCAGCTTACAGCAACAAGTCTGCAAGGAAAGGGTACGTGAGCTAGGTACGTAACCTGGAATTAACTCGATTGAATGAGCAGCGGAGATGGGTTCAGTAGGTTGCGATAGTTGGAACCAGGTGAACCTAACTGCCGTCTACCTATGAAAGCGTTGATTTTTATTAGGAATCTTTGATGACCTCAACACAAAATAAGGTGTCCAAAAGCAAACTGCGTTATGGAAGCATCGAGCTTCCTTGTTTGGGACATTCTTGATACTCCTTGCGTCTCTCTAGAAACCATAGAGAATATGGTACCCAACCGAACCAAGTAGAGGCAGGCAGTCAGTTACTAGAAGGGCTGTCTAGATGACGTGAATCTATTTGTATCGAGGTTAACTTGATTAAACTTCTCAGACGAAGCTGAATTATCCTGGACATGATCCTGTGCCATGTTCAGTTCACTGCTATTAGGGGCACGGTGTGTTAACAGTTTCTTCTAGGAATATAGCCTGAGTTTCACTAATTCCATAACCCTCGTTTTGCTTTCCAGATTTCGATGGGGCGTACTTCACTCTTTGTCTTGTGGAAACTGGGCTGCGGTATTTGTTACACTGATGTACTGATTTCTGAAGCATTGCTGATAGTAATGTGGGGTATCGTGACGGCGATGATGTCGATGATGATGGTGCTACTGCTGGCGCTTATGACTACAATAGGAAAGAGAATGATATTGATGAAGTGAGACCGTTTTCATCGGTTGCTTAGTCTGCGTCATTCCTTGGAAGCTCTCCTGTTCGGCTTTGAACGTTGATTAAAGTGATTCGCATAAGATGGGGTGATTTTGAAGTAGCAATAGTACGTAGACTGACAGTGTTTACAGTAGCGAATAATACTACTTCAGTTGTAGTGCTACTGGTTTCTACTTCTCCGAATGCTACACTCTTCAGTCGCTAACTTCTAGGGCGACATCACTCTTTTTAAACTCGGAGATAAAGCACCAGACTGACATTATGGTTATCTTGGAAACATTATATGCACTCCTTCCTCGAGGAGGATTTTGATGGTCTATTTTATCCCTTATGCTATAAGTGCTCACATACATATCTTCGTTCCAATTTTATCTCGTACAGGCTTGGAGGCCATCTTCAAACCATTTGTGTACGTAAATACCCAACGTTGACTGCTCAGTCAGTGCCAGATGGATGAGAAAACGTTATATCAAAGTGCTGACGGTACGTAAGAGACCAGAATATGCATTTTCTGAATGGTCATGAAATTTCGGCACGTCGAACATCCCTGGGATCTGTACAGGTGTTTTCATAACACACAGCCTTGCAACATTCGTTTGAATTCATGCAGAATTCATTCTCTCGTTGGCACCTGACACAGACATCGTTGGTACATAGGCTTCCGAAACAGCAATGACCATGTGGTAGCCACCCACATGTTTGTCCGACATTCCTGCAGGGCTCTGAAGTAGAGAACGGTCAAAAAATGTACTGGAAGACCATTTTCAACCAATTGGAGGAATATATTTATTTTCCAGAACCGAAGTATGTACTAGTAATGCTTCCTCAGTAGAGTTTGCTCCGTCAACCTGATAATCGTCCTGTGTACATCGGATAACCAGGTGATATTGTGGAAAGTAATGGTTGGGGATAGAATATCGTCAAGGTTTCATAGCATGATATAGCATTCGGACGTACAAAACCAAAGCAGTTTTGCACTCTGCAAAACTTTGACCCGTAATGACAAGAACATGATGAAATTATTTTGCCTTGATGGTCACTGAAGAATGCATTTTGGAATATTGGATGCCATGCCCCGGATAAGCACTAAGTTTGAAACTGTCATTCAGAACAAAGGAGTTTGTTGACCTAAAAGTGTCACACTGCAACTAGGCAACCTTTATGGGGTGAATCGAATAAAATACTCACAAAAGCGTGATGAGTAGTAAACAGGGTGGAACCGATGATAAATGGAAAATTTCACTCTTTTGCTTACTTCTGCATTCTGAATTTTAACCAACCTGAAGCATCAGATAGCGTGCGAGATGCACATTCGGATGAAAAAGAAAGAGCGACGATTATGTCCAATACGCTTGCTGAAAATCATTAAACACGTACTTGGTGGAATTTGTTGACCCCTCCGTAATTTCTACCGTTACTCATTCCTTATGCATGTGTACGATCTCTCAATCAATGTAAGTCAACTTAGCTTGCTATCTGGAACCCTCAGATATGAAGCTACGCATCAAACAAATCTGCAGTAAAGTTGAAACATGTTCTGCTGAGCGGTTCACATGTTTGTCCTGCTTTTCTTTGGTGGTGTTCTACAAGAAAAGCAACGGGAAACTGAAAAAACGCTACGCTCAGTTTTGGTGCATTTGAAAGAACCCTTGCCGGTTATAAGGACTAGAGGCTGCGTGCATAAAATTAATTGCAGCGATTTCACTAAGCTTTACATAGGACAAACTGTAGGGGAATTGCATACCGGAATTGGTGAGCATAAAAGAAGCATAGACTAACCAACAAGGAATGCATAAGAATACCAAACGGTGGTCAAAGACAGCCATGGCGGTACATGTCTTTGATACGGGACATAGAATAAGTCCGGAGAATGTGGAAGTTTCAAGACGGGGACTGCGATTCACACTACAGCGGCTGATTGCCGAGGCGGTGGAAAACACTAAACGTCACAGCGTGAATAAAATCGATGGTCTGGAACTGGCGAGCTTACGGTAAGCGGTCTTAGAAAAGCCGAGTTGATTGTGTGGTTGTCAGTCAAAGTAGAATCATTAGCAAGAACTGGAGGGTAGGAGTGGAAACCCCAACCCCCTCTTAGCACTAGCTCATCCACACAGACGGACAGAAGGTTCAAAGGACGTTCAAGAGAGACCATCAAATGAACCGAACCAGAATAACTAGACCCTGGGCTGGACCCAAACACATATAGGTTGTCCCATCAACCCAACACTTGTTCACCGATCCTAACACAAAAATCCCTCGGCCGACACCCAACAGAAATTTAGCTTGACTTAGCTGGTTGGTTTTCCTTCCGCCTTAAATCTCGACCAACCTCGGAACCTAGTCACTTGGCCTGACGAAGCTTTTGTGCCAAAAGTGAAACGTTGCCCAGCAATAAATCTACCGATTGTCAACAAACTTCTTCGAAAATACCACCAAGTTTAGATACTGATGTTTCCACGTGGCATAACGGTTTTATTAAAGGAAGCCAGGCTGTAGAAACATGAAAACATAAGATGGAGGCTGTAAGTTGTGCCACGCTAACATTACTAACCGCAAGTTTCAAATAAATCGCCTCTTTCTCTAACTAGAAGAGTCAACATTTTTGCCCAAGATCAGGTGGTTCCTACATGCATGTGAAGAGTTACTAGTATATAGGCAAGCTCATAAGTATATCGGACGACTTACTCTGGGGATGAAAAGCTCTACTACAGTCATAGGAAGCTCATTTCAGAAGCGACTGGTTTGACCGCGCTCTATTCTTGTTGTTGAAGGATATACGTTTTATATGCTATCCATCGAAGCTGAGGGACAGTCTTGGTTTCTTTTCTACTGTTACTCTAATTCTGATCTTCGTCTGTTAATTCGTGTAGAAAAAGCCATTGGCTCCATTCTTTATCCTCGCTCTGATTCTCTATACATTTTGGATTTTTCGGGATCGGAATGTGAGACAAAAACCCAGTAATTAGATTTTTTCACACCAGTTTACACCTCATGCTTAAGTTGATATGATATTGCCATACATTATCCAGACGCCGACGAATACTTCGACATCTCACGACTGATTTCGCCTTTTCTTTGGGGTTGTCAATCAGGCACAGTCCCCGAGATTTCCGTCGACCTTAATATCTACTTAAATGTTCTGCCCGTTAAAACACCTGAAGTAGTATTGTGTACCACACTCAGTTTAAGGAGACCACCATAAACGAGAGATTCAGCGTGATTCAGATGAGTTTCTACGTAAAGCCAGATTTGTGTGCAAACTGTGATATTATGTGAATTCTGTCCAATATGGACTAAAGTAGAACATAAGATCAACGGAAACTCATTGAAAGCACATTCTTGATGAGTCTTGAAAGGAGAGAAACCAGTCGCTGCTGTCAAATAATGTATAATAATGTATAGTACGTCACACTTATTTTGGTCGCATCGGATGGCACCGAGCGATGCTTTCAGGTCGATAGCGACATCCCAAGAGACACTCTGTGGATGACTTAAAATGGCTTGCTTGGGCTGACCGTGTGATCAGTATTAACGAATTGTGACGCGACCAAACTCTATCTGACGTTGCCTAGTCTTTGAACGCTCTTCTATTGTTTTGTATTCTCGGAAATACTAAGAAGACTTTGTGGGGAATTTCACATACGTTCGATGGAGTGCCTGAGTTAAGGTCGGCGTTAAATCTGGGAGCAGGTGAAGGTAGATGCTTGTTCGAGGCATGTGTTCAGCCCGTAAGGTGACAGAGAGGAGCGGCTGAATCAGAAACAACTTTGACCTCGTCACTTTAGGATGACATATGACAAATATAACCAACGTGCCCGTCTTGATGTTCTACTGTTTCACTGAAATCGGAATATCTCTGGTTGAGAACAGATGACCAGAAGTGATCACTTTTCAGTATTTGTCAGTTTCCAGCCTAATCGTGGGATAAAACAGATTTCCTCTGAAGCATGTGGCATTCACAGCTTGTCTCTGTAATGATTATATCATCCACCTTTCTGCTGACGATCATCTGTGACTATCGAAACGATGAGTTGTAGAAAAAACTTGGCAATTATCGTTCGATTTTTCCTCCACAAACCCATCTACACAGATATCACATAAAGTGCCCAATTTGCTCAAAACTATCCTTCGGAATAGCTTATGGCTACTCCAAAACTAAGCATGCCATAATTTTATGAAATGGATATTTGTCTGTGGTCCTCGTCGAAAATTCTAAACGTCCCAGCTAAACCACACAACTTAAAATAATGCAGAAGTCTTGGTGAGCAATCATATGGTTCTTTTGCTTAATTCGCTTTTTCTTCAGATGGTTTTCCTTTGTCAGACTTTGGTTTTTCAGTCAATACTGAAAAGGGTTGGCATCGCTCCTGTTTACACACGCCTCTACAACACTCGTTCGAATTGATGCACGGCTCTTGCAACCTTTGGCAACGTGTACAGCGGTTGTTTGTGCATAAGGTTCCCTCACAGCAGAATTCAGTCGGTAACCACGAGCATGGCTCTCCCTCTTTCCGGCACTTGGGTGCTTGAAAGTAGATATAACAAAGAGAAAAAGGCGGGCCAGTCAAGAGTACGAACTTTTCTACAATCTCTCTGAAGCGGATCCTCAAAATCGGCATACCTTTCCGGTAGAGAACTAGAACAACGGAATAATTAGTCTTCAAACTGAATACCATCAACTAACATGTCAGTAAATAAAAATTTGGGGGAATTTCGATGAAATTTGATTGACAACTGTGTTCTGTACAAACTGCGTAATATAGTGACAAATACTCATAAGTTGTTTCGTGGAATCCGTGGAACGTTTGCAAACGTTCTATAGGTTCAGCAAACATCATCAGGTCAGTATTTGAAGGATACAACTAAGGAACCAAACACGTCCTAACAAAGATAAACCGGTGAGCTTACTTACAGGCACAAACACATTCGAAGTGATTGGACACCAAGTAAAGTGTTCATGGAGTTGCTCTACTACTTTCCATTAAGCCATTAAGACTAGACAGTTTAAACTGTTGCAAACCACCGCAGATCAGCAGCACCTGACCTGAAGTTACTGCCTACTGAATTGAAGAAGCTAAGCGTAAAAATGTGACTAACTGCATATTCCTTTGGACAAGCCACAAGCAGCCGTATGTCAAACATGCATTCTGTGTGTGAGTTGGGTTCATTCAGCTGGGACTGCAATGCTGTACTTCGGCTGAAGATTCGAATAATAATGGTTCGTCGTACTGGGTTTTACTCACAAACGCTTGCTCTCCAAGAATTCAGCTATAAACTTGTGATTCAAACAACCAGGGATTGCACAACTATGACGTTCTGATTGCTCCAATCCAAGCCTGATTTACTTGTTGGCATTTCAACTCCCGAAAATAAATCACGCATACCGGGTACCAGGACTGTGTTTACAGAGGGTTCCAATGCTTTAAACATTATGATTCAACAGCAAGAACCCTCTTGTGAACGAGAATCTCGTTGTACGAAATCTTCAACCCATATGGTGTTCACGTTGAATCGGAAGAACCCGAAAACTCGGGACAGAATGGTCATCTGAGGCTCAAATAACACATTAAGCATTGAAACTGCGGTTGGTCGGCTTAGCAATTACTTGTCGTTTGACTTAGGAAGTTGTTTGTATTAGTTCATCCAGCTGAAGATAGTTTGGAATGTATTATTTACATGCCTGCTGTTTGTAGTCCACCTATTGAAATCTCACTACGACAGAATGAATGGTGTGCTGATATCTGACAACAGCACCTATTTAGAAAAATCCTCAAAGTCGTCTTAATGACTCATATCTTGTTGGAATTCGCTCGTATGGATATGTTGCGCATGGGTTTTTGTGCAATTGTTTTTACAAAGACTATTTAGCGTTAGTTATTTTATTCCTGCACAGGCAAGCCGTTTGTTTCCTAAGGTTTAATCTACTGAGAAACAAACAGCTTACCTATTTAGGGATAGAAATCACTAAATGGACATATCGCTGGAAGAGTGAGTGCACTCAGAATCATGCATAGGAGTAGCTTCAGAGAGTATAAAAGTCACAATGGATTCGATCTTCAACAATTTTACGAGCTGGAGATAGTTTTATGGTTAAAACATTAGACCGAAAGACCCATGGTTGGAACTTGACCATAGAATTTGGTCTGCTTTTTTTCTAAGCTTAGCAACGTTGCTGTATCTCATTCCACACGTCTCTTTTGATTTACCACCAAAAGGAACCGGAAGGGACCACTAGTTGCGCTGAAAAATTAAAAATGGAGTACGGTCTTAGTTTTTTAAAATGACCTCTTCAAGAATGACTTATGGACTATCACTGTCCTATGCTGGGCAAGTAAAGCATGATTGAAAAAAGATGTGAAAATACGTCAGAAAAATGTTGCAATCAAATTGTAAAACCAGAAATGGGAGTCAACCATACTCCTGCGAATTATTCCATGCCCATGCGGGTATATTTCAGCCTTGACGATCTTGGAATTAAGGATTGGAAATAAACAAGAATAGTAATAGAAAAGCCAGTTTCCTTGCTGGTACGTAGCTGATGAACACGTGCGTTCCCGGATTTATGTGTTTTCCGGAGTGTGTTTCGCTGAAATGACTCCGTTTTCAGCTAGGGCATTTTACATCCAAGAACCTTTTTCCGTCAGGAACTTATAGGGAACTCTGATAGTGTGAGCAATGTGATACCGGGGAATGAGGCAAAAAGTGACGAAGCACACTTGACGGTAATATTTCCCTAACTGTAAGCTTAGAATATTGTCGGTCTTGCACTATAACAGAACTTTGTCCTGTTCTCCCGATAACACATTTATATATCTGTATTTATGGTGGTGTTAGATTTGACACCTCCTTATGGGGAACGTAACGCTAAATTATGAAAGCACAGTGTGTCGCACCAAAGGTCCAATCCCCATGGTCTGCACTCCGATACCTCCGACAGCCTAATCCTATTTGGGAATACGGAATATTCAGTGTAAATATAGTGAGAGGCTAT